ACAGAGGAATCTCTCTGACTAACAGATGTTTTTGAATGCTCTTTCACATGGGAAAATTGGGAAGTATATATTTTTATTGCACCCTTGCTATTTCATCTGTCCATGTGGATCTCCAGGGATGGAGACGTACTTAAGAAAAATATTCATGTCAAAGAGCTTCTACAGTTTTTTTCACAACGCTTTCTTGGCTTAGCCAGCCCAGCAACACACACTTGTATTTCTGTTTTGCAGCAATTGGTAAGATTTTCTAATTACACTGTCGTGTATTTAAATATAACTGACTTTCCTTCGTAGCAGAAAACAATTCCCTTTTACGCCAGTTCTCTTAATCTTCATCAGAAGCAAACCCAGGCTGCCACTGGCAGTAACGGTCCTTTATTAAATCGCTCTCTTTTCTGCCCTGGTTGCGTGTCCTGTGTTTATTCTTTCTGATCAGGGCACTGGATCGCTTACAGCTGTTACGGCTACAGGTATTTCGCCTGACGTACCGCTGGCACCAAGCACAGCTATCGGAGAGCGACCCCCCTTGCTCGGCAGCTCGTGCGTCTCTTCTGGCAGCGGAAGGTGGGTGTATTGGGGGAACCTTGGACCTTTAATGCTCAGTTTTGGCACGTGTAACAAACTACTGGAAGATAAGGAAGTTCTGGAGCCTCAGGTGTGCCTGTGGGCCTTCCCTTTGCAGCCAGCCCTGAGGGCGTGCTGGTGTCTAAGACAGCAACAAATAACAAGCGTCTGCTTGACCTTGGCTGAGTTTCCAGTCTCCCATGGCCCACATAAAGGTTGGCAGATGAACAAAAGCCATCAGGACTTACATCCGCAATGTCACTATATTCAGGCAAAAATAATCCTGTTCAGAGACACTAATAACTTATAAACCCAGGAAAACTTGTTCAAACTCTTTGACAACATGTAAAACTAGAGCTAACTTTGTGTGGAAGAGGATGCTGGTTTGCAATGCCCCATGGCTAAAACCAGACCTGAACTTACCCAGCCTGAGGCTTACTGGCTTTCTGGTACCGGAAAGTCAAAATGCTCCAGCTCAGCTCTCCTCCTGCTACCGCTGGGACATGCCGAAAGCTGCCTCTGACCTACTGCGATCTTTGTGCCTCTTCTTTGAGACATAAACCCCATTTCCATAAAAAAATCCCAAACCCACAGCTGTACTTCCAGTAACAGTTTTTAAGTTTAAAAGCAGACGTTACCCGGACTGAGAGAAACCAGTGGGCTAACGAGTACAGTCGCCACTCGGGTTTGGGTGGCAGACCTGGCTTCACGTTCCACACTGCCCTTCCAGCACAGCCCTCTGGTACAACATCAGCTCAGATCCTAGCAGGACGGGACTGAAGAAATCAAGAAGCAGAAAAAGCACCCAGCAAACCCATGTATGTCCTCTTCCGAGTCGGCAAATATACCTCCATAAAGGCAATCCCCTCTCTGTAAACTGGAGTAAGTATTGCAAAACTGGAAAAAAAAAAACCAAACCAGCAATTTCTCCCCCTTTCCTCACTTATAGCCAAGCTTTTAGCCAAATCTTACATGCTGCAAACCTCCCTAGGAAGGAACAACCAGCAAAGTGCTAATTAACATCCTTTCTAGTTCACACTGATTGTAAAAAGCTTGGAGAAGAGGAACGGCCTTCTGTGAGGATTTACACTGCAGGAGGGACAGAGAAGTGAGACCACATGAGCTGCATTTTCTGTGGAATTCCTCCCTCCAAAAGGAGCAAGCAGGCTTTTACAAAGTCAGACCAGATCAGGAAAAGCCATCATTAACCAGATGTCATTTCTGAGGCATTGCTTTAACCCGGGAAGTCACCGAGAGAGCGCACAGATTGTATTTTGCCCCAAATCTCCGTGCTTGGATCCCTGTGAAGGGCGTGGAAAAATACACACTTGGTCAGGAACATCCTTGGATAGGATTTTTGTGAAGCACGGGTGGGACAAGCTGGCTGGAGAACTGCCTTAGCTGTAACATTGCTCCTTCAGGTGATGTAAAAAGCCCTCTTGCCTCGCTGCAGTGCAGCACCGCCGTGTCTGTCCCACCTCAGTCACGGGAGACGACTGTGAAACACCCACGCCCAGTAACACATCCTTCTACGCGGTGGTGTCTTCCAGCACATTTCAGTGCCTCCACCACCCCAGCATCTGAGATCCTTTCTCATTAAATCAATGGCATTGGAAAAGTACTCAGTGACCTTTCAGGACTCTGCCCATTTTCATTTTTCCAGAATCAATGAAGGCTGGAATTTTTGGAAATTCACTTGCATGATTTTGGGGTAGCAAGTGTGCCAATAATTATTTTTTTAAATTTTATATTACTAAAAATAGAAAATTGATACAGACTGGATCAGTGCCATGACCAGGCGGCTATCACCTTGAGCGACAGGATGCAGAAAATGTCCTTTCCGCGTTGTGGATCCGTTTCTTGGAGTAGTTTGTCCTGGGTCTACCCCACTGGGTTTAGCAACTGTCCCACATCTTTGGCTCATCACTTCACGTAATAAGGACGGTGGTACTGTATCGTAGAATCACAGAATGGTTTGTGTCGGAAGGGACCTTAAAGATCACCTAGTTCCAACCCCCCTGCCATAGGCAGGGGCACCTTCCCCTAGACCAGGTTGCTCAAAGCCTCATCCAGCTTGGCCTTGAACACTTCCAGGGATGGGGCATCCACAGCTTCTCTGGGCAACCTGTGCCAGTGCCTCACCACCCTCTCCAGGAAGAACTTCTTCCTGATATCCCAGCTAACTCTTATCGCTTTCAATTTAAACCCATTGCCCCTTGTCCTGTCACTACAGGCCCTTGTAAAAAGTCCCCCCCAGCTTCCTTGTAGCCCCTTCAGGCACTGGAAGGCTGCTGTATCCATTTTAACGTGTGTTGACGAACGCAGTGCAACTCGACTGACCACCCATCGGTGCCCTTCCTTCTCCCTTCTCAGTTACCCCCTTCCAGATTTAAACTTCCCATAGTGTTTAGCCACTGAACTCTTCGGGGGCGCACAATGTGTGGTAACGTTTTGCTCCAACTTCAGCATAAAGATGCATCTGTACCGTGGCAGGGGGGTTGGAACTGGATGACCTTTAAGGTCCCTTCCAACCCAAACCATCTTGTGATTCTGTGAATTTCACCTTTAAACACACTGGCGTGACTTCTGACCGTATGGTTTTCGTACAGTCGCTGTTCACTACCTTTCCTTTTTCAGCCTGTAGAATTCCATTCCTTATTTTGATTTTTGCCTGAATCACCAAGTGCCATCTACAATCCACTTCCTCCGGCAAGAGCAAATACCGACAGCGCTAACAGCAATAACCGCTGTGGGCTGCTGCTCGGCCCTGGGGTGACTGCAGCTTCTGTTTAAAGGCACCGTAGGGCTGCTGGGTTTACAACATCTGTCTTCATCCTTGTAAACCTTCAATTTTTATTTACACCAAACATGTCACCTTCCCCCCAAAGAAAAACTCTGTTAAAACGGCTCCACAGGGTGTGTTAAACTTTTATACAGGGGGAAAAAAAAAAGGAAAAAAGCAGGACTGTGCTGTGCAACGGATCTGACTTTAAAGGATCTCTTTCACAGCCCTTGTAGGGGCTTCTGAACAGGAGTTCTATGAATTTATAACAACATATATGCCAGGCAGACACTGGAATTCAAGTTATTTTAACTCCAACTAAAGGCCTGTGTTTGAATGTCTGAATGCATTCCTTTGTGGCTGAGATTTTAGGAGTCTTAAAACTGCAAAGACCATATCTTCATTATAAATACTCCATTTCTTAGTCATTCTTGTGTCAAAGGACTGCTGGAGAGAAAATTTGCACCAGTGTGGTCCGGGAGGAAGCAGAAATCAGTTTTGTTGCAGGAGCAGGGGTGCGTAGAGCCCAATCTGCTCGCCGAGCCTGGCATCTCTGCTATGTAGAGTACCAAAACCGCACAAAACCATAGTGAGTATTGGTATTGCTTATCTAGTTGCTTAGGACCTACTGGACTTACGTGTTGTTACGTGGGAGATTTTTGTTGGTTTCCTTTGATCTAATACAGAGGCTGGATGACTGCTGGGCTGGAGGGCTGACACAGACCACTGTGTTTGCCTAGCTGGTTGTCATTGCCCACTTCTGAACTGCCAGAACAGCTCCTAAGTAGCTGGCTTATTGGGCTACTTAGTTTAAAGGCTGTTAAAGAAAAGACATTCTTGCACAATGAACCCTGTAAGTGTTTCTTGTTCAAGCATTTGCTAAACACACTAACCAATTCCATGTGGATGTAACAGTGATGCAGTGCAGAAATAAAATGGTTGAAATGAGGCATGAGAACGGCTTTGTGTTTTATGGAAGTCTGATTGATTTTTAGAAACATGACAGCTATTTCCCCTTAATGAACCCCTCAGTAAAAAAAAGGAAGTATTTCGATTCAAGTTTTACGATCTAGGCGCTGCAAGAACCAGGAGCAGAGGCAAAAGCATGTGGTCTGTCGCCCTAGCAGCCGACTCATCGCTTTCATGAATCCCTGAAAGTCTCCCAGATGTCTCATGCCTAGGATGAACCTTCCATTCTGTTCTGCGCAGAAACAGCCGCCAGCACTTTGCTGAAGTTGAAGCTGTCATGGATGAGCCAACAGAAACATGCCAGCAAGGAAGGAGGATCCCGGCGAGGGCAGGGCTTGGCTGAATAATCTGACCTTTTTCTTGGCTTGGTGCTGAAAAAATCCTGGTTTAAATTAACGCTCTGTAGTAACATTTTCTTACCACTTCAAATGGTAGTTAACGGTAACGTGAGATACAGGGAGCAAAGACTGGCTGCAGCACACCTTCACTCTGGGTGTAACGCATACTCAGGGTAGTTGTTTTGTCCTGGAATCGTATCTATACATTTAGGCAAGCCAACTTTCCAACAGGATATATTCCTGAGGCTGACACTAATACCCACATGCTTTATGCCATCGAGTTACATTCAGTTCTTCTGCGCTTCCTTCTCATTCTCCCAGGGAATACGGACAAAACCAGCACCTTACCGTGACTCAATAAGAAATTTTAATTCTGCTCATTTCTCCAGGCTGAAATGAAGATGTAGCAGCAACCCGATTTCAGTAACACTTCTTCTCCACCGTTACGTGAAATTTAAATAACCATAACCGGCATTTTTTAGATTGGTTTCATCGTGAAAGATTCCAATTCCCTTTTACAGCCCAGCAGAGCCTTTGCTACTCTTGCACTAAGAAGTTGATAAGGGCAGTTCTGGGAGACAGAAAGGCCTTTTTAATGGGTCGTCCCTGGAGATGCTTGGCTCCAAGTTCACTTTGGAGAACCAGCTCGTGGACTTCTTCAAAATTGCGGGCTGCTTGCTGAGGCACAAAAACTTTGCCACAGGCTTTGTTATTGATCTGAAAGACACAAAAACGAGAAAACCAGAAGTTACTAGGCTGTTTTATACAATTTCATTTCCTGAATCCAAGCCATCTCATTACACAGGGAGTGGGGAGTGGATCAAACATTCTTTTCTCCAACCTCAAACTTCCTGAGTAGAGGACAAAATTCTCCATACCTCCCGTCCATCTACCATAAAATAAAAGAACGAAACTGTGACTCATGATACTGAAGGAAAATTGAAGAAGTGGCCATAGCAAGCAGCATGTGACTACGCAATGTGGGCATTTTTAAGTTTAAAAACACGACAGTTACACAAGCTGAATAATTCGTGAACATAATGGTTTGTCAGGTGGGAATCTTGGTTTGTACATGCTTCTGGGCTGAAATTTGGATTCTTTACAGCTAAGCAATCCCTTACAGAGATTCAAAAGCAAGATTTATTAAAATAAAAATATTTGCGGTTGAAAAGATACCTGAAAGATTCATCATCGCTCCTTTTGAGGAAAAAATAGGCTTTAACTCATTCTATGTCGTACTTGTGCTAAACGCACGACTCGTTACGGCAACGCCAACCAAACCACAAAGACGACAGCCACTCATAGAGTAATGCTTTCATGTGTGCGCCTGGTTTTCAGAGCAGCTTCCTTACTGGTTCTGCATCAGCAGGGCAGAATCATGCAACTAAAACTGAGTAAGGCCTTCAGTAGGGATCACCTTAATTTATAAAATGGTCTTATAAATCCTTTCTGTCATCCAGGAGGAGTAGGTAACGGACAGAGACTACAGAACCTTACCGAACACCTTTCTGGAATTGGTATAAAATGATTACAAAAGCTTTCAGATTTACATGGAGTACTTTCAGTGGATTAATGAAAAGAAAATCCCACATTTTAGAAAATGAAATACTTTTTGAAATTTTTAATCCAGTTCAATCAAATTACTTGCATAAAAATCTGCTGCAGGCACTGCAGATCTTTGACCTTTAGACGTCATTGTAACGAGTTTTCAATCATGTAAAAGGAACATATGTTGCTTCATACAGCCGGGACGTTAAAAATGCACAGAGCTTGGTTTTCAGCCCGTTTTTATCCAGGATGCATGTATGCAACATACCACGAATGAGAAAGACCTACTTCACTTACCTAGCTTGCGTTTTATTGAAAATAAAATAATCTGTGCAATTCTCTGAGAGAGGAAGTAGGGACAGATTTTTAAGGAACAAGATGAAGTCCCAAGTACAGCTGGGAGGAGTAATTTCTAGTTTTTTACTTGACATTAATTTGCAGTGGTAATGTAGGTAGGCTTTTAACCATTCCTACACGCATCCATAACATAAAAGGCTGGCTGTGTTAAACTTCGCCCTGAGCACCTCGTGCAAAGTAAACCCCTTGAAAAACACAGAAGAGTTCATTTTTAAACCTTTTGTGATAAATAAATACAAGTAGTTTCTTTTTGACAGGGCACTTCAGAGAAGAAATGCATTCCACAGGAAAAAGAAAAAGGTAAAATCCAAACGGATACAGTTTTAGTGAGAACATAAAGCAAGCTTGTCAGCTCGCTGCTAGGACACGCAGCCCGCAGCACAAAACTATGCCTGTTTCGTTAAGACGTCAGTCACCGTCCTCCCCGATGCAAATTAATACGTCCCAGTGGATGGAGGTTGGCGTGGGGGAACTTGCCATGACTAGCCTGTTTGGTGCCGTTCTCAACAGAAAAGCCGAGCCATCTAAATCATCCTAGTAAATAAATGACTGCTAGCGGGTGTGTTTTCCAAAAAGGTCGAGAAGCCTGGGCAACCTGACACTGTGTACCTTCCCACACCGTGCTGCCAGCCGAGGCCGAAAATCCTGTCAAAGGGCAGATGGGTTATGATTTCAGCACGTTTGAAGCCTGGCTTTCATGACGCCACAGGTATTGTGATGCAGAGTCTTGTGATACTAATGCCATTCTAGAAATAAGCATCTGCAGATTCAATCACATGCTGTGTAACAAGCACCCTATTCACATACCCGTTTAGCCGAGGGCTTAGATTCTCAGCAGGACAAGTATCTTCTGCTATGCCTCCATCTCTCTCTCTGGATCTCACTAGACCAGCACAACCCTTGGCTGCTCCAGGTAAAAGTGTCAGCTAAAGAAACTTGGATGCTGGCAGCCTTTTTTCTCTGAAAAACCATGGCAAACTGCAGGAGGAGAAATAAATGAGGCTTCGGTCCTTTCCTCCCCTGAGCAAGGAAGCTGTTGCTTTTTCTTTTCCTCCTTTTTTTTTGGTTTTTTTTTTTAATTCACATTTTAACTGTGTTGGATCTAGAGGGAGCTAGAGGGAACTGCAGAGTTTATGAAGGATGAAATGAAATCACAAAACACTGAAAAATAAGCACCTGGAGGCTGCAGAGAGAAATTTTTAGTTCAACTAAAATATTTTTTTTTTTACCAGTGATGCATATAATTTTTCTGAGAAGTAAAAAGAAAAATAAATATCTGTGCACTTTTAGGCCTCTTCATATGCCAGTGTAAGAAAACTGACACCGACTTTTTTGTAAATTAAAACATCAGTTAAAAGACCACAGCTGCTAACAGTTCTGCACTACCTAGGAAATGTGAGAAACGCTAGCCAGGACTGTGTTCGTAGGATGAAATGCACACCACATTCAGGTCAGATTTTTCACAGCATTAACAATCACACGATCATAAAATCACAGAATAGTTCGGGTTGGAAAGGACCTTTAAAGGTCATCTAGTTCAATCCCTCTGTAATAAGCAGGGACATCTTCTACTAGATCAGGTTGCTCAGAGCCCTGTCCAACCTGGCTTTGAACACTTCCAGGGATGGGGCATCTACCACCTCCCTGGGCAACCTGTCCCAGTGCCTCACCACCCTTGTAAAAAAAACCTCTTCCTTATATCGTCTGAACCTACCCTCGTTTAGTTTAAAACCTTTACCCCTTGTCCTGTCGCTAGAGGCCCTGCTAAGAAGTTTGTTCCCATCTTTCTTATAAGCCCCCTTTAAGCACTGGAAGGTGCTGTAAGACCCCCGCTGGAGCCTTCTCTTCTCCAGGCTGAACAAGCCCAACTCTCTCAGCCTGTCCCCATAGCAGAGGGGCTCCAGCCCTCGGAGCATCTTCATGGCCTCCTCTGGACTCGCTCCAAGTGGTCAATATCCTTCTGATGTTGGGGGCTCCACAGCTGGACGCAGCGCTCCAGGTGGGATCTCACCAGAGCAGAGCAAAGGGGGAGAATCCCCTCCCTCGACCTGCTGGCCACACTTCTCTGGATACAGCCCAGGATACGGTTGGCTTTCTGGGCTGCCAGCGCACACGGCCGGCTCATGTCCAGCTTTTCATCCACCAGTACCCCAAGTCCTTCTCCTCAGGGCTGCTCTCTATCCATTCCCCACCCAGCCTGTCCTTGTGCTTGGGATTGCCCCGACCCAGGTGCAGGACCTTGCACTTGGCCTTGTTGAACTCCATGAGGTTGGCAGTGGCCCACCTCTCCAGCCTGTCCAGGTCCCTCTGGATGGCATCCCTACCCTCCAGCGTGTCACCGCACCGCACAGCTTGGTGTCATTGGTAAACTTGCTGAGGGTGCGTGTGATCCTGCTGTCTATGTCACTGATAAATATATTAAACAGTACTGGTCCCAGTACACACCACTAGTCACCGATCTCTCTCCAGAAAATACGTGGTACCATTAAAAATATTCAACGTTTAGAATAAAAGATACCATGCATCTCCATTGAGTTTAAATGTCTGTCTTGTACGCAATCTGTATTGCATCAGCCAAGGATGCAGTGAGTCGCTTGCTTTTGCTGCTTTTGGTTAAATATGGAAAGACATAACTCCAGCACAGACAGGAAATAATGAAGTATTTTGTGTCAAGAGAAATAAACCCATAATGTCTCAGCAGGCAAATCCCTGGCAGCCTGAGGCAGTTTGATGTCTTGAGAAGAATAGGGTTGTGGCCCAAAGGCTCAGTTTGACTGTGCAGCCTTGTGAAGAGACACTGCCTCTTTGCAACTAACCAATTCCTCCGTATGCCGAGTGTTTCTTGGTTGAATGAGGGCAATTTATTTTTACAGCCATACAAAAACGTACAGTGACCACAAGACTTTAAAATATTCACATTTATGATGATTTCTCCCTGTTCCTCTGCATTTCCCTTTTGCCTCATGCTCACAGTAGTGAGACAGGGATACCCCCCAGGCACTATTTTTAAGTATTATTCCCAGTTTGAAAAAGGAACTTGTCTCTCTGGTCTTCCAGTCACTTAATTTCTCAGAAGTATGGAAGGTGTTTACACACATCATATTCTTCCACGAATACATGGCTGAGAACACAAGGTTGCTTTTTCTCTTCTTACAAGGTTTTTACACAAGGCTGCAGCTTTGACAAAGGCAACCAGGAAAAGAAAAAAAATAATTTTCATAATAGATGTTTAAAGCAAAATTTTTATTTTTCTGGTTTCCTTCTTTGAGAAGGAAGGTTTAACGTCAGCAGAAAAAGATCAGTGAAATGTTTAGGTGTTTTCATGTTCAGTTGTATAGTCTTTAAAACACTGAGTTCAGTATCCCCTGGATTGCTGGAGTTTTTATTTTACAGATATTTTTAATAACACGTTTGCTCTAACTACCATTGCGAAGTTGTTGCTGTAATTACACAATCTCTCATTCATGACTCCCATATAAACTGAACACTGGAATTTAACATGTTTACTAGCTGTTCTTGAAAGTGAAGGTTTATTTTAAGCTTGAGCAAAGAGATTATGCCTCAGTGTAGATTTTTGTGGATATATGACCAGTTTGCTATTAAATAAACACTTATCAAAGAAAGATAGAAAGAAAAGGAAAAAAAAGAAAGAAAGAAGCACTAAACCCACAGTGAATATTAGGCTAAGTCTGCTATTAACCCCAGCTGGCACTTGAGTCGGGAAAAAATGCCAATTGAAGATTTCCCCCAAAAATATATACCCTGTGGCCTCTGCTAGGGATGTATGCTGACGTTAAAAAATCAGTGTTTTAGCAGCGTTTCTCATTCTGTTCAAGTGGGCTGACTGAGAGATCTGGCAAGACACGAAATCATTTGCAAAGATACTTTGATTACAGAAATCTACAGCTAAATGACTTCTCCTAAATCCAACCAATTTCTTCCCTCCTCAAAAAACCCAGCTGAACAAAAATAACCCAACTGCCTTACTCTTTCTAAGCTAACAGAAGAAAAGGAGCTAACAGAAGAAAATACAGATAAAATGCATTGCTTCTGGTTTTCTTACACACACTTAGAAAGTGCAGTTTGACATGACCAAATGACATTTTTTCTAGAGGCTCCGTTTCATTCCCTGTCTAGAAACACGAAAAGTGTTTAAGTTGCAACATTTAAATGTTGAAGTTTAGAATGTCTGAATGGTGTATTAAAGATTATTTCTTGGTGAACAGTGAAAAAGGCAGCGGTCCTGCAGATCTAATAGTATGCAACTACATAATTACTGACTATCCAAATGCCTGAGCATGAAGAACTTGAAGGCAAGTTGACCAGGAGTCGGCTGATGGAAGAGCTGAGACGCTACTCATGGATTCCACGCACTCAGCTCCAGGCGTTCACTCCATCGCCTGCAGTGGCACTTGCTGCTGCTGGGCACCATCTAACGATAAAGTTTTATGATGCCTGGGAGCATGCTGAATACGGAACAGTTAACCAGAGACGTAGGGAAAAAGACAGTAGATTACACCGTCCACGTGCAAGTACACGTTGGGAAAACACAGGTTAACTAAATGTAGTTGTATGTCCACTCTTCTACTGGGCTGCCATCTCTTTCCAAGAGAAACTGGGATGCAGTTCTAGCATCAGCAAGGATACCTGTTTTTCCTCAACCACATTCCTGCAAATAGGCCCTGCTGAAATGTGCCCGAAGTTCGGCCTGAGGCAGATGGGAAACATCGTTTGGCAAAAATCACAGCAACTTAACCCACCTTGTGATAGGTGTTAGGCAACCATAACACTACAGGTACAACAAGAAATGTCACCTAATTGCACATTTCTGTAAGGGGCCAAGTTCATAAATGCAGTCAGGCAAAAAATCTGGAGGGACCAGTACTCTGATTGCAGTTTTGACTGTACCATCCTTGCCCGCAGCTGTTCATTGGTCAAATCTCCACAGGAACTAATATGCAGTCACTTAAGAAAAGCTTTATATTTAGACTCCCTACATTTTTTCACTTAGGAAACCATCTTAATTACTCAGCTCAATGGTAATTGCAGCTTTTATTCTACTTGACCTTTCACTGAGCCACCTACGAAGGGAACTGTCTTCCACAGGAGCAGAAATTCTGTCACTCTCTGAGCTCATAATGCATTAATTGGCCACCACTGAAAAGAAATGAGAACGCTCTTACCAGAACAGCCATCTCCACAACGTCTGGTGGCTGAAGGTACTCTGGGTCTACGCTGGGCCAGGACTGTTGGAGCACATCAGCATCCCAGTGATGATGAGTACAAAGTTTGTTCTGCATATGTGCCAAACCTGGAAAATGAAATCGGTCAAACATTCATCTGTGCTGTAACCAGAACATTCAATCTTCGGAATTTGTTTGATAAATAAGATCAGATAAAGTTGACTTTAAAAGCAAGCCCCTTCGGAGGAAACAATACTGTTTAGATTAGCATGCAGCACATTATAAACAGAAAGAGAGACATCTCTGAAGCGCTTGTTTTATATCGTGTGTAGGGATGCTAACATGAACAATGCGGGCGCATTTGGATTAGCACTCCAAAACTTTGCCAGAAGCACAGGAGATCACTGTTTATTATTTTAAACTGTAATACTGCAGCACAAGCTGCCCTCTACTTCTAGAAGTCAAACACAACACTCCGGGCTTTTTTAAACACCACCACCAGTTTGATTAAAATTTTACTAACATCTCAACCAAGATGATAAACAACTATGGCTTATTATTTTACCACCCATAATATGCTGGGTAGTTCCTAAATCTGCAAGTCAAGCTACTTGCAAGATTTTCTCATATTTTGTGAAGTACCTGTTTTCTCAGATTAAAGGTGCTACATAAGAATACCTTGCACAGCTTGCTCTCCTTGTGATACGTACATTCTGAAACACCCTATCCTTTGATTTTATTTTAAAAGATCTCCTAAAATGGCTATAATGGCTATCTCCTTTTATTAAACAGTTTTTGCTCTCCCCCAGACAATTCATTTCTGCTTTGTTTAAGTAATAGGAGTATAGAATGTAATTAATTCTGAAGCTGCATTCTGTAACTGAATAAAAGCTTCTGAGTGGGATTTACGTTGCTGTTTACTGCAGCTGTAGGACAAAATAAAAACGTTTTGCTTAACAAGAGGCTGTCAAAAGTGATCAATATTGATGACGATTGCTCATGTGATTCTCACAAAGGCAGGGGATTTTTAAATAAAAAACACCCTCTGTGTATGAATGAGAATACAGGCTAAAACTTTTTGTAAGCACGATTCATTCAGAACTGGAAAATGCATGTGAAATCTCAGCTGGTTTAGGGCAATAGCCTAATGAGGAAACAAGATTCACTGTTGAGAGTGAGGTGCCCCAAGCTGTTCAAAACACAGCACACACAGGAGCAAAACGAACCCGTGCATAATACATACATGAATTTACCTAGCTGGATTGTTTAGACTAATACAGCGAATACCAGCAACCAGAGACATAAAGAGAATGCAACTTCCTCCAGAAAAATCCACCAGTTTTTGTCAGCGCTTTTTCCAACAAAGGCCTTTGGTAAGATGACACACAGCCTTGCTATTTGCTGAGTGATTCAGAAAGGGGCAGTGGGGTGGGCTGATGGGAGCTATTTCGAATGGCAAGCAAGGACGTGCACATTTCCTAAGAGTAACACCCAAGCCACAATCCTACTAGGTAAATAACTGATTAGAACACCTCTGTGGATCTGGTTTTGTGCATTTTTTTTTTTCTTTTGCAGCAGAAGCTCTGAAACTGAAAGAGCAAAAGAGCAAAACTCAAGCAGAAAAAAAAAACCTCACATGGGTGATTCATTATCACGTTGACTCTAAAGACAACAGCTGCTAGATTCTTCCCTTTTTGGCTTTTGAACATCCAGATGAGCTCATTTCTTTCCAACTGATCACATGCCTTGTGGCAGAAGCATGCACACTGGCCACTCCTTATTTTCCTGCTGTAGTGGATTCTTCAAACTATTTAAAAAAACACTTTCTGATATAAGTCAAGAGCTTCTAGTCACAAAAGCAAAACCAGGGTCACTTTTAATCCCTGTGGAGGCTGTCAGTCCTAACAAACCTAAGAAAAAATTTTACAATGTATTCTGAAGCAGATAAAGTGTGACTAAGCACAACGTCAATATTTTTGTTCGTTTTCTCGCTACAAAATGAGCTATGAGCTCATCCATATTAAAAGAAAGAAAAGTGCAAAAGTCAACAGAACTAGTTTCAGAAAACAGAGTTTGACAGGAAACCGAAATGAAGGTTTTAGTTACGTTGCTTGCTTGGCTCCCTGCCTTAATTCACGTTTTGTGATCTGCAGAACACAGAAAACACAGTAATTCGGTTTGTGTTTTCAAAACGCAACACGCATAAGACCAGAAACTTCATCGCCATGATCCAGGATGGCGATGGTCCGCTTGTCAGGGCCCAGACAGAACCCTCCTCCAGCCTTCCCACTCAATTCTGAGATGCTATACCAAAGCACTCTGTCGCAGACTTTTATTGTGAAAACATTAAAAACCTATTTTCTTGTCTCACTGTACTGGAAAGCACCCAGTGAAGTGCACTTTATGAAGTGGTGTGCATTTTGCTTTACATTCTTTTTTTGACGTATTTTGCTTTTATGGCTAGAGATTCTGTCGCAGATGTGGACAGAAAGCCAACCGAGTATGTTTTTACTGACTGTAAGCCATTTACCTCTATGTACACACCTGTACAGCCACACAGGACAGATCAGAGACAATGCTTGTGCTCAGCCTGAAGCCCTGATCCTGCCATTGGATCTGCTTCAATGGACTTTCACTGACCAGCAGGCTAATACTAGAACAAGGTTTCTCTAATGAGTAACTCACAGCACTGGAGCCCAAGTTAAAACACCAAGTGAAACGTGTATTACATTACTGTAAATAATATAAGTGAGTTGAGAGAGGAGGGGACAGGACAAGTCTGACAACGTTTCAGCTCACGGCAATGTTTTATTAGCATTGCGCGAGTATTTCATAATACCTCCCCTAAGGTGCTATTTGGCAGGGAAGAGCAGATTCTCATTTTAAAGAGATTTAAGGAGGAAGATGTGGAAGCAATCGCGTATCAGCAAGGTAAATTAGGACGGCAAGGTAATCCTAGTCTCACAGAACAAAGCACTAGAAAAAGGATCCGTAAAATTCCAGCAATAGTGCAGCTAGTCAGCCACAAAATTATGTAGGAAAGACAAAAAGATGTGAATAAGGAGTAAACTGAGTAAGAGCTGGCATGGGGCAAGTGCCGGCATGGAGGGGTTAAAGCAGAAAAGGCAAAGTCTTAATGGGCCATAAAAGCAAGATAATGAAGGCCTCAGAAGCAAGGCCAATATCGCAGTTTGGGACTCGGGATCTTCTAACAGGAGGTGTAACAAGATCAGGGGGGATGCATAAGGTGACTATAAGGGGTGGGTTATCCAAATGCTGAGAACTTTTGGATTTAGCTAAACCAAACCAACAGAAAGCTGTGTTATGTAAAAATCCACCACACTGGCAGACGGGCAGATCAGGTTTTCCAAAAGCTCGGAGCGGGGGTGTGTAAGGGTAAGTGGAGATGTGTTCTGGGTCAGTATCTTGCTCGCCTCTGCAGCCTGTTCCACAGGCAGGATTCTTACCATGTTACTTTGTTCCTGATGTGCTTTTTTACTATTTAATTAATCTTCCTATTTGACAGATTCAGGCAATTTGCACACGCAAAATACGTTTCTGCAGCCCAGGAGAAATATGTGTCAGTCATATGTGAAATGGTCAGCGATCTCAAAGAAGTGATAGCAACTCAGTAACAGCTGTTTCCAGACAGTGCTGAGAAAAACTGTGTTATACTACTGGGAAATGGGCATTTCCTCAATACAGTCCTAGGGGATTCGTTCTATACATCCCCCAGTGACAGACATGGGGCACCAAGGTGGGTTGTGACAAGCCTGGGTTGCTGAAAGGTAACTCTAGAATGTGTTTCCAACTCAGCAAACTCCATGTGAATCCTTTAACCTTCTGAAAATTATCTGCCTTCCTCCATTTGTATGGACATACTGTCCTTCACTTTGGATTATTACTCTTGGAGGAAATCCATAATTTTTTTTAATTCCAAGTCATCTTTCTTTTTGGACTTGTGAAGGGGGAAATTAAATTAAATCAGTTAAAATCTGCAACATCAGTTAGCTTCTACTCAGCTCCAGTCTTTGCAGAAGCCTTCTTGAGCAAGGAATTCAGACAAAGAAATTCTTGCAAAAGAGCTGTTGCAGTGACAGTTAGAAAGTTGGTAAAACAACTATATCATTACAAATTCCAATAATTATTTTCATTTCTGTGTATCTTAAGATGTGTTTATCATCAGTATATATCTTTCATGTGCTGTCTCCAATTAAAATTTGACAAGTCACAATAAGCAGTTTCATATCCTTGTCTGGACAGCAAAATACTGTACTACTACAAACAAACTAAAAAAAAAAAAAGTTTCAAATGGTGTCTGTATATTCCTTACATACAAGGTTTCAGGAAGGAAACAGATTTCCTCATCCTGTTAGTGTTCATGAACTGCCAAGATAGCAGCCGGATGAACTCTTCCCGCTCTGAGGGGCTGGCAGTCACGTTTTATGTTATTAAGCGATAAACCAGTGTATTCACTGCTCAATTAAGACCTTCAGGTTGACACAAAGTACTGAAAACTGTTCCTCCTCTAAGCAGGAGAAAGAACTCCTTCACGCAGCAAAGCACTGGGTTACTACTGTTCAGCTGCTGAAAGGTGAGGCACTGCCCAAACAGCATCCAAGCAGCCGTTCCTTCACTCCATGCTGGAAATACCTACTGCCAATACTCAAGTACGCTCTTCAGACAGATCACAGACACCAAACTCTTCGTTACCACCTGACGCATGAAATCAAGATGGTCCCATATGAACCAAACCCCATAGGACAAGAATTCTTCAACTGCAGAAGACAAAAAGTGCTGTACCTTGAATCTATCTAATTTTACTTTAATTATACCTTAAAGTTGCCCGTTAGATCAGAAGCATCCTTGGGATATCAAACTGCAGGCTCTGAGTTCGGGAAGTTTACCAACCAACTAATAAAGAAAACGCAGCGGACTAAAAAGCTAAAATTTCAAATGAACTCTGCTGCAACTCCTGCAAAGCAGGACAGCATGATTACAATCAAAATTACTTCTATCACTGATGCTAGTGATTACTTACAATGTCAAGCAAACCATTTTTAATTGACACCCCAAAATAATCTTGGTAATTTTCCTAATATTTTCATTAGTTGGTAATCAAGATGGACTGACTTGCAGTTAAATCCACTTGTGAAGAACTTTATTTTGCTAGCCATGAGGATACCTGCACACATATTTATACGCTTAGCCAAGTTTTAGAAAACACTGATTTGCCTTTTTTTTTTGTTTTACATTTCATTGTGATCTGTGTTAAAGAGCTTTTAGATTTAAATGGAAATCAATTAAAATGCACACCAGCATTTTTTTTTAGTATAAATACGTTCAGAATGCAAGTATTTAAGAAAACTTAGATATTGAAAATTCATCATGTCGAGTTTTGCAGTTAAATGTAATTTTTTCGAGCAAAGGAGATTATTTTATGTAATTACTGAATTAAAAACTAGCAGTGTCAGATATTGTTGGACACCAGGGCCTTCAAGATTTTCATATTTATAGATGCTAGCCTCTTTTACCTAGATTTTTATTCCAAAACTAGAAAAGGAAAAAAGGTTGGTTGATTTGTTACCAATTTCCAGAACACCTGTCACCTGAGCTTTCAGCTGTCAAAAGTGATTTTATTAACTCCACAGAGATTCATTCCATGTGCTTAGACAGCAAGTTCTGTAGTTCTGTGGTTTAATTGTCCTCGAATATTTGGCAGAATTAACTTCATATAATACATTACATATTACTTAATACAAAACAACACATTAAGTCAGGGTCTTATTGTAGGTTATCATTATTTCACATTTAGTTTTAAATACCATTGTTATTTATTTTAAACATTTCTTGACCAAAATCAGTGATCAGAAAAGCATAAAAGGAGAGATTACAATGCAACAGTAAAAGTATTATTCATACTGTGAAGCACAGTGCAAACAGTCAAAATTAATGAGAATGCTCTTCTCTCTCTTTTAAGGCTCTAGTAAAATTAATATTAAGCATATCTCATTATGTAGCAAACAGTAATGAACCAGGAATAAGAAAAATCCTTTTTCTTCAAAAAAAAGCTTACATACACAAGGAATTGTAACATGGTTCAGAATTAACACAAGTCACTGTTGCTACCTGCATTCCTACTCAACTGCAAAATTACCTGTTTGCTATTAACTACAGGGCTTTCAAACTTCCCAGTTTCATTTCCCCCTGTAGAAAGAAAAATGCTTCTTGTTTTGATCACTAAAGCAAACAAAATGTAAAGGCTACATACAGATTATTTTAGGATAAAATGTCAGTATTTAGTTATAACTACATTGCTTATGTGTCATTTATTATTGGCATTGCAATAGCAGACAGAGGCTTCCATCAAAGTGCAGGGGTCCACTGCTATAGGTGCTATTTATAGAGCTAATCATATACAAAGTCCTTTTCCTGACCAGTTTTACAAGAGAGGAAGCAGCACTATCCCTACATTTAGATGCACCACCAAGGTACAAAAAAAGAGACTTACTTTGAGAGCGTTTGGAGAACTAAAGCACAGAGAAAACTAAATAAGAGTATTTAGAAAGCTTAATTTTTGTACTGAAATTATTTAAAATAAAAAAACATCATCACCTACACATAATAAAGTTTAAGAAATTGGTTACATCAGAAGAGCAACAAGACTTTGTGGAACCAGAGCGCAATTCAGAATATGAACTTGGGCAATCTTTTCTCTAGAGTACAGTTGGACATCTCTCACCAGAAATCCCAATCATCCCAACTGCTAGATGTCAGCTATTTCAAAACAATATAGTCTTCGTACCACAAGGCAGATGTAATGACGACCATGCTTAGAAGAGATTGCAGTTTTCATGTTCAGCCATAAAACTCTTAAGAATCATAGAATCATAGAATGATTCGGGGTGGAAGGGACCTTACAGACCATCTGGTTCCAACCCCCCTGCCATGGGCAGGGACACTTTCCACTAGACCAGGTTGCTCCAAGCCTCATCCAGCCTGGCCTTGAACACTTCCAGGGATGGGGCATCCACAGCTTCTCTGGGCAACCTGTGCCAGTGCCTCACCACCCTCTCCAGGAAGAATTTCTTCCTGATATCCAATCTAAACCTCCCCGCTTTCAATTTAAACCCGTTACCCCTTGTTCTGCCACTACAGGCCCTTGTAAAAGTCCCCCCCAGCTCCCTTGTAGCCCCTTCAGGCACTGGAAGGTGCTATAAGGCCTCCCCAGAGCCTTCTCTTCTCCAGGCTGAACGAGCCCAACTCTCTCAGCCTGTCCCCATAGCAGAGGGGCTCCAGCCCTCTGAGCATCTTCGTGGCCTCCTCTGGACTCACTCCAACCAGTCTATATCCTTCTGATGTTAAGGGCTCCACAGCTGGACGCAGCACTCCAGGTGGGGTCTGACCAGAGCAGAGCAGAGGGGGAGAATCCCCTCCCTCGACCTGCTGGCCACACACTCTTCCAGCAATAATCACCACACAAGGGTTTGTCAGGCAAGATGCACTGAACTACAATGCAGAGTCTTTAGATCACAAGCAAAATTTTCATCTACATGCAGACAGAAGCTGAGTACAACACACTCACAATTTTTATGCTTCCTTCTCATTCTTACATCAGAGAGAAATCTAGAAAATGTTCATCATTCTCATTCTCCAGTGATTTCAGTAGTAAGAAAAGACTTCCTTCTTTAACATTCAAGAGATTACAGGATTAAGCTTTATGTTTGACGAGTTACATTAATTAAGACTACCTGGTATTCTTTGTTATTTTATCCAACATTTGATAATTTTGTATTCCCTAACATGTATTGCAATACACAAGGCACTGTATGTTTAAGTAATTAGCCTGGACCTCTTCCTCCTCCATCTCAACCAATGTGGAAAACAAAGTTGTGGCAATCACTTCCATTTAAGTATAATTTTAATTAGAAGGTACTTCATATTGAAAGAGAACATTGACCAGAAGTAGCTTTCTCCAGACAGATCATGTCTGATGCCATTCTTTATTCTGAACAGCTAAGCCTATATTAAGACATCTTAAAAACACTGGAAATGAAAACACAAAACCAACCCACACTCGCTCATATATCTTGCTGTTTCCAGAGTCTCTGCCCCTGTGTTATTGCTCCGAAGAAGAGCAGCCTTCCTTTGGCAGCTAACTTTATTACAGGGCCGTGCACAGCTCTGAAATACAAGCAATTCAGTAGCTCTGCTCTGTAAACACTCGAATGCACAAAGTTTTAGAAATACTGTTGGAAATCAAACAGTTGAAACAGCATCCAAAAGCTAACATTAGATCCAAAACCACCCAGCAATTTGTGGCCAGTCTTAATGCAGAATATATTCCTATCTTCCCACATACGTCTTGGGACTTCTTCCAACAAACCTTAAAAGCAACTGCTGAACTCTGAACAGCCCTTATTTCACAGGCTTTAACTATAGCAGCACCACGCAACTTAGCCCACTTGGGATTCAGACCTCAAGGTTTACAACTGTGACAGATCTTAAAAAAGATTTCTTGTCTACCATTCCCACTCTCCACGAGAGTTTAATTTGCAGCATAATGTCCATCAGTCTCTGGAGAATTCCACAAGAGTAGCATTTTTATTGAACACTCCTTTTAGCCTTTTTAGTATACAGCCCCCTGACATGGTTCTCTTTGCCTGAACTACTGAAAGAAAATATTTGTAGTAAAAGGCTCTGAAACGGTTGTTTGAAAAAGGACCGTTACTGTCCCCATGTTCAGCTCTTAATGCTGCTGTCCACATACAGGAGCAGCTAGCAGCTGACACAGGAATTCCTCATGCAAGTCCTGTCTTGAATTTTTCTTCCTTCTCCCTTTCTCCGCCTAGTTTCAAGAAATCCAACTTTGAATGCAAGGGGAAAGAAACTAAAAGCACAGAGAGATATCTGGGAACACAAGTCTCAAGTTTGTTTACAAATTATGACAGATGCAGAGTTCAGGACAAGTGACACATGTACTATGTTAAAGACATTTTTGCAAACTTTTTGCCTTTCTCCCCCCCCCCCCCCCCCCCCGAACATCATTAAAAGGTTTAGAAATACCTTTCCACATCTCTGATGCAATGTGCGGAGCCATAGGTGCGACCATGATGCAGAGTGAAGCCAAGGCATCTTCAAATTCTGTGCTGTGGAGAATGAGAGGCCGAGAAGCTTGCTAAGCGAAAAGACAGAAGGAAAAGAAAAGAAGCTGTTAATATTCTGAAGTGGAGTGAGGAAGGAGTTTAATTAAGAAGAAAATGTGGTAACAAAACCTAAAATCAACGTCTATGCTTAGGACAGAGTAATTTCACAATAAATTGGAAAATTCTGAAAAGCTCTGGGGAATTAAAATCACAACTCGTGGTCAGAGAGCTCTCTAACACTTGGCAGCTGATCCTGCAGAGGCTGATGCAGACCCTTGGGGATCTGCTCTAGTATGGGAGTCTGAACACAGACCAACGTGGACAACGGTGGCCCTGAAAAACATTCTGAGTGCTGCCACTTCCAGAAGTGCAATCTTCTCAGATAGCTCTGCTTTCAGCTAAGAGGTGAAGTACTTGTGTAAGAGTCAAACTGTGCTGAATGCAGCATGGTTTTTGTTGGGATAAGCCTCGGTTTTACAGGATCCCAGAGTGACTTAAGTAAAGCTGAATTCAGTGACAAAGTGTGGTTTTAGAGCTGAAGGAAGCTTTGGGAATGAAAAGTGCTTTTAGAGCACTTTCAGAGCTGCTTTTAGAGCAGCTTTTTAGAGTTTGATGTTCAGACTGCTTTGGTAAAGGGTTCAACCCCTCTAGTACAGAAAACTTTCAGTTTCTTGCAAAAGGTCCTAGACTGACAAAATTTCAACCTTCATTCCTCTATTTGTTGTATCTTAATAGAAAAGACAGACCACTAAAAGTAGCGGGGTGAACTTTTTCTTTCTTTGCCTCTTTGAGAGATCACATCCCATGGGAAATTCAGATTCTGCGTTCATTAGTTTATTTTGTCATTTGCCCCTCTAATGCAACAGCACAGAAAAATGTCCATACATGCCAGCTTATGAGAATTAGCCGGTGGATGTAACGAACACCCATTCCCGTCTACTAGAAAACTGTCCAAAATGAGCAATTTGCTTGACACAGACCACAAGTGTTGTCAGATGCCACCTTCTTATCACTGGTACTAATGAGGGCAGTGCAAATGGGACTGGAGTCAGGTTTTAGTAACTACTATCTATTTTTTATGTTTAATCTTCACCCACCTCCCCACTTCCTCTTTTCAAATGGGAGCGAAAGAGGAAGTGTAAGCATGCTCTACGGAAACTTGCTCTTGAAAGATACCGCACTGACTTCTTTGGTCAAGAAACACGTCAGTGTTCTAACATCTGGCTGTCTGTAGGACACCGATTTTTATGTATGCATCTTTTTTAACATTCACTCATCACCATCTACCAGCCCAAATTGCATACGAATCACCAAGCTGGAGGTGAAGAACCGTGTCCCAACAGCACACAGCGTCCCAGACTGAAGTTATCTCAGTACAGCACTTATGCATGCTCTACTTAACTTTTTGTTAAATTCCTTGGCTTTGCCAATAATCTCTTCGGAATCCGTAAGGTATAAATGGCATTTCAATAAAGGAGTTAAAAAAAATTCCAAGTTTTATTTGATGTCTGGTCCAGATGAGGTTACCATTATATGCCTGAAGGATTGCTCAACCGGATCCAAGAGCAGTAACAAAAATAGCAATAATAGTTTATTATATCTGATCTATTGCCACTGGCTGATAAACAACATAATCTAAATTAAAAAATGCTACAGACTTAGGTTATTTTTACATTTGTTTTAAAAAGGGGAATTTACAAGCTATTGCTAGCAGACAGTTCAGTGGTGAAAGCTGCCTCTGAGGAAAGTAAGATTTTGTGTGATTTTCCTTGCAAAGAATAACCCTTTTCTTTCAATCAGAATGTTTGGAAATTCTGTAACGTCCTACTGTGCCTAGCTACTTGTGCACCTTGGTTAAAAACAAAAGAGAACAAACAACAGAGCTATCCTTTCGAATTTACAGGACGCAGACGTGCACATCAGAACCTAGCGGCTCTAATACCATCACGCTCTTTCTGCAAAAACAGGTATTTTAGGGTTACAGTGATATCAGAATGTGCTGCTTTTGAACTGAATAATTCAACGAGGCTCTTGACTTAGTAGTAATGTTTATGGCAGCAAATGACTTACAGAAAGCCGGACCTATAGTTCGGGCAGCTCCTGTTTTACACAAAGACTTAACAGGAGCAGGGTCTGAGAGAAAAATACCTTCATTAATATCATGGACTTACATGGAGTGTGTTAGTGAGGCCCATCAGTCGGGAAATAGCTGCATTGAACAAATGATCCTTTGTGAAGTACTCCGTTACCTTGTGTGAGGAAAAAAAGGTCTATCACTAATTACTTCAAATGCTCAAACACGGAATATTAGGGTTTGAAATGAAAAAGAATTACTGATACTCAATGTCGATTTGTGAAATATGCCCATCCTACCCCTAAATGACAATCACTTTGGCATGCAAACACATCATATACGCAATCACATGTGATGGAAAAATAATATATACAAATTCAGTTGACTAGCCTCCCCGCTTTTTCAGGATTTTAAAAGCTTCAATCAGTGCCAATGAGAACTGTGCATTAGTAATCATCCTCTCTTTCTTTTAATAAAACATCTCCCCTTTGCCCCTACAGGAGGCCTTCATACTTGTAAATCCAGTTATGCTGGTGAAAGCTTGTTCACAGAATGCAAGATTACAATTCTAAAGTCTGTTAAGAGGCCGGGAAGGCCCCTTACCACACGGCTTACAACAGGAAAAGCTTTTATCTATAGAAAAATATTTTAAGTTAGTTTTGCAGGTATTTATGTCTCCTTCTGAGTCTTGGATAATTGAATTGACACGAATCACAGCATGAGACAACACAGAAAAGATGAACAATCATGTCAGTAATTTCTTTTTTTTAGGATACCCTAGCTGCCTTCCAAGCAGTTGACCTGAGTAAGGCAGGTGGTTGAGTCACCATCCCTGGAGATATTTAAGAGACAAGGTGCTTAGGGACATGGTTTAGTGGTGGTAATATTAGCAGGGTTAGGTTAACGGTTGGACTCGATAACTCGATGAAGGTCTTTTCCAACCTGAAAGATTCTATGATTTTTATCACCTTTTTTTCATTCTATATGAAACAGCAGGCATGATAATGAGGTGTGAAGGAAACAGATCAAAAGATTTTTTAGGGATAACCTGCATGACTCACCTATTACTTGAAACCTGGACTGATAACATTTGAATGCCATAATGTTTAATCCTTTAAATGAGGCACACGGCAGAGAAATGTTGCCAGTCCAAATCTTACTACTTTGCAAGAAAGTTCTGTCCCACAGAATTTGTCAGTAATAAACTAACTTATACAGAGAATAATTAACTTAAAAATAATGAGCTAGTTACTCAGCTGGGGAAAAAGCTTTTGGCTCTATAAGTCAACCATATGCTTTTGGCATAAGCAGCAACTTATTTAGTCATTTACAAACTATGTAAGCGTTTCTTTTAACCTCAGAAATCACCAGATTCTTCTGCTCCCAGATCTTTCTGGCTTCAGCTTTCTCTTTCTTATTCAGAAGCTCAGGACTGGGCACAGTTCCTGAAGTCCTTGCTTCAATAAGTTTGGTTACAAGCATCCAAAGGCGCGTCTGCCATCTCTGAACGCCTGGCATGGCATCAGCTGAGATTAATGAAAGAGGGCAGAAAAAATTTCAATTACAATCAATGAATCCTAAACTTTAAAGAAAAGCAGAAAGGAAACTGAATGCTGGCATTAAACATTAAACAAACAAACAAACAAACTGTATTTTAAATTAAAAATGTCAGTGCAATTAAAATTGCCTTTACAAATAATGCTGGGATACCTTAATGGAAGGAGATAAATAAGATAAAGATGTTTTTCTGTTACAACTTTAGAACATAAATACAACAAGGATATTTGCTAAATCTGTAAAATAACCCAACATCATGTCAATGTTAATGTTCATCTCGTGTTTTAATGACTCAACGAAACAGGGAAAAGTAAAAGACATGTGAGTGACTATAATACAGGTGGATTATCTGTCTGACTGCACTAGATGAAAGACATCCTGCACGTCTAGGAACAGTAAAATACAACCTGATTGACTAGGTCTGTATGATCCCCATGAACTCTCACTGCAGGACTAGGAGTGTGATGCTTCCCCAAACATTCCATCTTCTGTTCATATAAAAGGCATGTAGAACATCTAGACACAATAGGCTTGGCATTATTCAGGATGTAGTAATGGTGTAATTAGCTGCTGGGTAAATTTGACTACATCTGGTCCTAGGGAGTCTGGAAAATTGCTTGACCACACCAGGGGAGAGGGGGAGAGAATGACATGAGACCCTGCCTTCATGTCCACCACTGAAAAGACAAGGCCAGGCTGGATGAGGCTTTGAGCAACCTGGTCTAGTGGAAGGTGTCCCTGCCCATGGCAGGGGGGTTGGAACTGGGTGGTCTTTAAGGTCTCTTCCAACCCAAACCAGTCTGTGATGAGTCTATGAATCTAGTCTGGAGGGCAATCCTCAAAGGGCTATCAAAACATATCCAGTGAAAAGAAGAATCATGGCAATTGAGAACCAGTATTTCATATTCTCTGAGTAAGACAATTTTCTGTATTGGGTTTGTGTGGCAAGGTTTTGGTGGCGGGGGGAGGGTGTGGTACAGGGCTGACTTCTGTAAGAAGCTTCTAGAAGCT